GTGGAAGGAGACAGACATTAACGTATTTCCCACCCACCTCCATTAAACCTTGGCTCATCCTGCAGGAGTGACTGACAGCCCCCTAAGGCTGCCGGACACGAACAGCTATTTGACAGTGGGGTGCGCGGAGAGGCCTCCTCCACCTGTTCCTCTTTTCTTTATCACTTCACATCCATAGGGGTCCCTAAGCTCCAAGAGAAGGGTCAAGTGCAAATGTGGTAAACCAAGAAGCCCTAGCAGTTGTCAACTTAATTAGCCTTCAGGGAAAATCTATGGCTTGATGAGCACAGTGGAGTTGCTATAGAGACAGGCCCAGGAGGCACATTTAGAACAGGGCCTCATCACATCACCTGGTAAAAATAAGACCCAGGCTTTTTAATAGAATGAGTTACTTAAGTTTTATATTTAACAGGGGACGACATCAAGGCTATTACTGGTTTTCAGAATATTTTAGGAATCTGGGCTGCCTGCTCCTACATATGTTAACAGCCATCACTGCATATGCTCTGGTGGACAGCAGTTCAGGACTGGGAGCCCACGCATCCACCCCGCCCACGAGCCAGGAGATGGGCCTCCCCACTGTGGTGTGTCCTTCTTTAATTGGGTGGGAGTTCTCCAGTGTGTTTCAGAGATAGGGCTGGGAAGAACCATTCTGTCTCTACACCAGGCCTTTTGCATGTATTGTCGCTAATCACTGTGAGAAACCAATGAAATAATTGTCTCATTTTTGCAGATGAAAAAAAAAATGAGGCTCAGAGGGGTCCAAAACGTTCCCAAGGTCACACAGGTGATAAGCAGTAGAGTTGGGATTCATTCCAAAGTCATGGACCCCATCTCTGCACAGTAAGAAATCTGGATTCTAAAGACATTTACCTATTTGGGGCCAGCCAGGTGGTATGGTTGTCAAGGCTGGTTGGATTCCATATGGCTGACTATAAACAGTTTGAGTCTCAGACCTAGGGACTTGAAAAATACACTGGACACGTGTGTGTGTGTGTGTGTGTGTGTGTGTGTGTGTGTGTGTGTACGCGCGCACACTCCTAAAACCCTGAGAAGAGAATGGAGGAGAGGGGATTGCGGTGTGGTCATCCCCCCCTAGGGGGTTATTTCTTACTTTCCTTCTCTCCAGTAAGTACACACACCCTATAGCAAGCTAAAAAGAGAAAGCGATTTACCCTTTTTGTAGGTATACGGCATGGACCTTGATGTAGATTAATCTCTTTTACGAGTGGTCCCATAGTGGTTTGGTTCCAAGCAATATTCTACAGGCACTCTGGCTTCTGCTGCTGAGTGCCTTTCCAGTGATCAGAGATTCATTTCAGACTCACTTCTCCTCCACCCAACATGCTTCTGGACTGCCTATTCCATAGCTAACACAAGCTTCTGAACTGAGCATCGTTCAAAAGTGTCCCACTGTTGGGAACCAGCAGTTAGCGTAATGGCTATGTCGCTGGACTCTCACGTAGTCAACCGCGGTTCGCCTCCTGGACCCAGTGGCTTAGGACTCACGCCTGGCGCGTGTGCTTGCGTGCCCAAGATCCCGA